GAAAAGTAACTCAGCCCAACTCAGACAACTTACTAGGGTTATATTCGTAAAAATGTCTTCTGTTTTTTTGTTTGGTCACAGAGGACTATATTGTAATTTCATAGCCCTTTTAGGTTAGATTTGCATTTGATTCAAGTTGGGGTCTAGTATTGGGGTTAAAACCAAGTTGTGGGTTAGTTTTGGCAAAAACCCCTAAAATTGTCAATGAATTGGAGATGATCTTGTATTTACGATAATGTCAATGAAAATAGAACGATGAAGGGAGCATTGCAAAGCGATCAGTGTGAAGAAATAATCACCATAATGTTCAGAGCTTTTAACTGGATCAAGTTTTACTGGATATAGGGCATGTCGTGCATGTCTTCTCCATCCAACATGCAATGATTCATGATCCACGACATCCAGATCCAACACTAAGAAACCAGAACTTTTACGAGCACAAAGACACCTGTAGGAAACACAAATAAAAGAATCAGCAACACTACTGTGGATGACATCACTTACCAAAAGCACTTGAAAGCCTTACCATTTGCATCCACCGACTACGAATTGATCAGAATTAATTCCTGCCGACAACTGCGCATAGGAGAAACTCTTAATCGTCCAAGTGATCTTCTTTTTATTTTGCTTCTCCATGATCTTGATCAAGATTCCTTTGAAGCAGAAACAGGTAAAAACAAAAAAAAAACCTTAGAAATATTTAAAGAACAACCAAGCAACAATCTCGAGCAGCATTAACAAAACTGCAATTTATGATTTCCAATGGGGAGTTGAAACATTTTTTACAATGTCCAATGGAACTCTATGTAGTAAATGCGAAACGTTTAAATTTACCACGAGGAATGCGAACAGCCTTGTCTCCTACGTTTTCGAGAACGCTCTATTGACCTAGACTCTTTTAATGTCACAACTCTTTGTTCATACGTCTATTGAGGGTGTGTGATCGGTTGATAGATTATTGTACATAGAATCAAATGTTGATTCTACACTATACACAAACATCAAATATAGACGTTGCTAATGTTAATGCTTTCGAACAAGGAAACAATAAAAGTAGCAAATAGTATAAAGATTAGAAATGAGAAATTGTTGCAAAGAGGATGATGAGAGAGACTCTACAGCTGCTGCAATCAAACGTGCGTGCAGGCAAAACTAAACAGACCAAAAAAGTTTAAACAAGCAAAAAGTGTGTAAATCATACAGAACTCAAAACAATCCTCATGACACAAGTAAATGAAAAACAAAAAATCACAAAGAGTCAAAAATTGATGAGAGATTATAAGCTTTTATGTCAACTCTAGATAAGGCATAAGTGGAGTGGGAGCTAAGGTTGGTTTTATTCTCCAGGTACGGAGACTCCTTGCTTCAGCCTCTCGCGCTTGAGCTTCTTTTTGGAAACTGGCTTCTTCTTCTTTGGAGGTAGGTTCTTCTGTGCATGCACGTAGAGCACGATGTTGGCAACAAGGAACACAATAAGCGGACCTCCGATAACAAGCAACACAATCAGTCCTGGGTTCAATCCTCTGGCTTCAGCAGCCGCCTATGGAAAAAAAAGATAGACCAATGAATGCATATACCAACATATAAACAATGAGACAGGACAAGGGGAAAAAAAAATGCTGGTCATAACAATGATGATCACGAGGACCAGGCATATTCCAAACAAAACGTGCATGCAACATGAATCAAATCGTTTTGAAACCATTGATTACATTAACACAATAACGTTTCATATGAAAAGAGATTGGTTTCCCATTAGGTTAAAGTATCAACCTCCAACGATTTTTAGAGTTCAAATCAGATATGTACTAATATAAGTCACATAACATTACATAAAATATCTTTGTGCATAATTCATGGGAAGCTAGACTTGAAAATTGATGTACATCTGCAATAACTCATATATTCGAGAGGCTGTCTTGCAATGCTTGCAATCCACGTTTCCTCAGATCATTAACAAAATAGTCTGAATTTGTAAGAAACAAATCACGAGCACAACTAGGGCTGGGACTTATATCCGGGATCCGCTATCCGATCCGGGATCCGATCTGACCCGCTCCGAAAAAACGGATATCCGGAGGGTCCGGATCCGGATCCAGATAGTGATTTCACGGATCCGGCGAATCCGGATCCGAATCCGGATAGTGAAAATTTCAGTCCGGATATCCGGATCCGGCCCACTAAATATTTAAAAGATATTTAAAATATAATTATATTTATATAGGTATATTATATATTTTTTATTAAATATAACTAATATTTAATTTTGTTAATAAATTCTATTATTTTAATTTAACTTTTTTTGAAAATAATAATTTTAATAAAATAAATAAATACTAAATTTTGAATTTTTAGTTTTTTGTATTTAAAAAAATAAATAAAACGGATCCGGATATCCGCGGGTATCCGAGTTTTAGTCTGGATACCCGGATATCCGAATGGCCCGAATCCAGATCTGGATAGTAATTTTACGGATCCGCCGAATCCGGATCCAAATATCCTGAAATATCCCGGATATCCGATCCGTCCCACCCCTAAGCACAACCCTAAAGAAACCTAATTGCTGGGATCGCATAGAAAAGGAGCCATTACATCCTACAGGAGCTGCGAGTATAGGGACGATTGACGATACCTTTCCGGCAAAATCTTCGCCGTCCATGAATACGATCCGAGATCTCTGAGAGCAACGTGAGAATGGTCGCGATAGGAGAAAGATTAATGATCTGAAGAAAACGATGATCTGTTTTCGGAATGAAAAAAACCTGTCTTCGGACGAGAGATTAATAAGACACACACACGCAGACGATGTAATAACACGTATTTTATCCAATACACCAATTATCGGATTTTTTTTTTATTGGGGCCCATTATTTTCTAGGTATTTCCAAATTGACCCTGTAGCTTTTGTTCTGGAATGTTAGACCCCTAATAAATCTTCGTAAACTTGAATGGTTTAACCCGGTATTAACTCGGTTTCAGTTCACTAACAATACTACTCAAAATAAAACTTATGTTCATATGAAACAGTTTTGAATGGTTTCGGTTTCACAATGAAATTTTGCACAGGTATTATTAGTTTATAACCAATCGTTGGAATGGTTTAGTGTCTCCTAAACAAATCAACTCCGTGTACTTATAACGTTACATAAAATGAATTAAATGTTACAACACAAATCAAATTCTAATCAAATAAACCAAAACAACAAAATGCATCTATCCATCTTATACAATATGGTCATCATCACCTCTAATCATAACATTATGTTCCGGCACAGACCACGACGAAGACCTACTAGAATTCAACGCCAATGTATTGCAATCAGACAGAGTATCTTGCAAACTCAACAACAAATGCGAAGTGCTAAAACTCATAGTCGGCCTCGACTTCGGCACCACCGGTACATCAGCCTCACCAATCAACATTTGCACCACCGACCTCATAGTGGGCCGAGCGTCCGGGTCCGGATGAGAACAAGCTAAGCCCACCACCAACACCCGCCACATCTCTCCTTCATCAAACTTCCCTTCAAGCCTTGAATCCGCCGCAGCAGAAACTTTCCCTTCTTTATACAAACCCCACACCCATTCCACTAAATTCGGATTCGCCCCACCATTTTGCCTCTGCACATTTAAGTCCTTCTCAATCGGTCTTCTCCCCGTAACCACTTCAAGAACCACAGCTCCATAACTGAAAACATCAGTCTTCTCCGTGGCACGACCTGTTAAAAGATACTCCGGCGCTAAATACCCCATCGTCCCGGCGGCAACCGTCGCTTCCGGCGATTTATCATGTTCTATCTGTCTAGCTAACCCAAAATCTCCAAGCTTGGCGTTAAAATTCTCGTCTAACATTATGTTACTACTCTTAACATCTCTATGTATCACCTGATTCTCACACTCTCTATGTAGATAGGCAAGAGCAGACGCAACACCAAGCAAGATCTTCTTCCGGTGATCCCACGGTAACGGAAACCGTGACTCAAACAAAGCTTTATCAAGCGAACCGTTCGGCATCAAATCATAAACCAATAGAATCTCACCTCTCTCGTGACACCATCCTTGCAACCGAACTAAGTTTCTATGTCTGAGACTCCCGATTATCGACAGTTCCGACAAGAACTCGTTCTTCTTGTCCTGAGAGGTATTGCTACACCGTTTGACAGCTACAACGTCTCCAATCTCAGGTAACACGCCTCTGTAGACAACCCCGAAGGCTCCGTGTCCGATGACACGATTCTCGTTGAAGCTCCTCGTAGCGGCTTTGAGCTCCTTGTAGCTGAACTCTTTAGGAGCCTTGATGATCTCCGACGCGAAGGAGTCGTGTCTCTCCACGCGTTTGAACTTCCTCGAGTAAAACCAGAATAAACCTCCCGCGAATAGTGCTAAGAAGAAGGCTCCGGCGGTTATTACACCGGCGATTGCTCCTCGATTCTCTTTACAGAGATGGTTGCGGCAAGACGACGGTGACGTAGTTTTGGATTGAGAAGTGATCGGAGTCGCGGAGGGAGAGGGTTGTGAAGCGAACGGTGGTGGAGAGTTAACCGAATTAGCTTTCGGGTTTACTAAATTAGTATTCGGAGGAGGTGATCCGGATCCAGGACCCGACCCGAATGAGGATCTGAAGCTCCACCATTCGATGCTGTGACTCTCTGTGCTACCTTGAGTAGACCCGGAGAAACCAACGAACATGAAGTCGTTAACGTAACGGTCGAGATCGAGAGGGAAAGATAAAACCGGAGATTTCGGTTTAAGATTCGAGTAAGAGACGGAGACGTTGAAAACCCGGTTCAAACCGTCGTATTCTATCCACGAGTTGATAGTGTTTCCACTCTTGAGATCGATGTCTACAGTGCCGAGATCGAATGAAACAGAGGAAACGACGCCGTTTAGGTCGAATCCGACGTGGTTGCTGTTAATGTCTTTTAAGTCGACATCCATCAACGTGTCGAACTCGACAGCGACGAATTTGGGACCGGAGAGACCAAGCGAGCCACCGGCGGCGCCGATTGAGTTTGCGTCGGGGGTGATGACGAAGGCGAGACCGCCGCCGATTGAGGAAGGGTTTATGTTTGTGATGGAGAAGGAGAAGAAGGTGGAGAAGCTTGTCGGAGAGTGAGTTCCGGGCTGTCGGAATCTGATGGGGTTGGAGTACAAGACTTTCCCGGCGCCGGAGTTGGGGACGGAGAGGTCGCGTGTGAGGCTGACGATTCCGTTGCTGAGACGAGCGTCGCCGAGAAGCTTCAAGTTGCTGATTGGGAGGGTGGAGAAGTCGAACTCTGTTGTAGATTCATTTAGATGGAAGAAGAAGAAGACGCAGAGGAAGATGGAAACTGAGAAGAGAGAAGACATTATCTGTTGGAGTAAAGATTTGTTTCAGACAAGAGCCATTGAGAAAAAAAGAAGAAGAGAGAGAGATGGGAATTGATGAAAGTCACGGGTGGTGTATTGGGGGAATACTTTGCTTGGAGTAAAGGGAGAGGATGAGACAAAGGAATATTAATTTGGGAAGAAGTGATGAGAGACCCCTAAAGAGAATCCAAAGAGACAACGAATGAGAGCAGACAAGTGGATTGACTTATACCGCCACGTGGGTTTTCCCAACGGCTATAACATCTTTTGTCTGAAAATTTTCAGTCTAGAAAAAAATGTGATGAAACTTTATGTTATGATGGGAAAAGAGGCTTTTTCACGGATAACGAGTAACTAGAAGTAACGGTCATGGTCCTATCCCACAGGTTTCTTTTTGGTCGTGGTCGTTGATTGAAGCTAAAACATGCATAAAAAGGTATCAAAAACAAATAAAGTTTTTTTTTTACCAAAAAAGAAAAAACAAATAAAATTTTTCTATAGAATTTTCATCCCATTGGTTAGGTGAAAAAGGACATATATCAAATTGAAGTGACAACCTCTAAAATTCAAAGTTGTCCACAACTTTACTGAAAGCTGAACGTAACAACATTTTTTAGCCCTTTTTACTGAGCAAACTAAGCTACTTTTTGTTTGTCAAAAGACCCGAATAGAACTTGTGCTTAATACAACTAAATTGAACCCAAATTCATGCAACCAAACAAAACTGAATAGAAACCTTAATCTCAGGCCTAACCGAGCAACAAAATTTTATTTTATTTTGATTGATTGACCATCTAAAACACCACAAAAAATTAACGCTAGGCTTGGTCCATGAACCATCTTATTCAATTGATTAGTAAAAGGGCTTTAAATGGGCTTGAATTAGTCGTGACCCAACCCATCGAATCAATCATCTCCAACTGATCTTCGGATGATGACTTTTAATCGGTTTTAAAGTCAAAAAGTTTTGATAATTAGTTGCGAGCAATTAAACAATCAACACGAGAGACCTTTTGCATCATAATAACACCTTTGATTCGGTAGCCATTTGGAGAAGCTTGAATCTCGACGGGTTACTTGAGAAATAGAAGAAAAGGGCAAACTTTTTCCTGGTTTCGATTTGGGTGTAATTTTTTTTGATCAGATGCTATTGGGGGTTGACGATTAGATAACAAGAAACAGAAAGCAACATGATGAACACTTCTAATGGAATGATATCGGCGCCATCTTCATCCTCTTCACCCGCCGCGAATACTCAGTCGCCGGGGATTAAGACTTATTTTAAGACCCCGGAAGGGAAGTATAAGCTCCACTACGAGAAGACTCATTCTTCTAGCCTCCTTCACTACGCTCATGGCAAAACCGTTACTCAGGTTAAAAGATTTTGATTTTTTTTTATATTTTTATTCATTTAATCTGATTGGAAATGGGTTATGGGTTTTTGATTTCTGGTTTGCCCAAATCGCAAATTTGAGAGAATCAATTGGTTTGATAGTGAAATTTGAAATTGCAATGCTTTAAAAGGTTGTAACTTGTCAATGAGTTTCAGTAGCAAATAAGAGTTTTCCTTAGATTATGCTTAAAGGTTGTAACTTGATTAGGCGTAAGGTTGCAATGCTTAAAGGTTGTAACTTGATCAATGGGTTTCACTAGTATTGCTTTCCTTAGGATTATAACAAATGAGAGTTTCCTTTTTTGTGGTTCCTTTAGATTGTGCTTAAGGTTGCAATGCTTAAAGGTTGTAACTTGCTCCTTTAGATTATAGCAAATGAGAGTTTCCTTTTGTGCTTTTCCGTTAGATTAAGCTTAAGGTTGCAGTGCTTAAAGGTTATAACTTGATCAATGGGTTCCACTTACTTTGCTTTCCTTTAGATTATAGCATATGAGAGTTTCCTTTTGCGTATTCCTTTAGATTACGCTTAAGGTTGCAGTTCTGAAAGGTTGTAACTTGATCAATGGGTTACATTAGTATTGCTTTCCTTTAGCTTATAGCAAATGAGAGTTTTTTTTCTTTCGTTGACAGGTAACTCTAGCTCAGATTAAGGAAAGAGCTGCTCCTTCTACTCCAACTGGTACTTCGTCTGGTTCCACTCCTAGTAGCGGGTTCCGTTCAGCAACAGCGAGATTGCTGACTGGAAACGGAAACCGTGCGCTTAGTTTCGTTGGAGGTAATGGAGGGGGCAAAAGTATGAGTACAAGTTCAAGGATTAGTGGCTCCTTTGCTGCTACTAGTTCTACCACGTCGATGCCGACGAATACAAACTTTGACGGGAAAGGAACGTACTTGGTCTTCAATGTGGGTGATGCTATTTTTATCTGTGACTTGAACTCACAAGATAAGGTAATCACTGCTGGTCCTTGTTGTTTTTTTATTTTCAAGACTTGGGTGTAATGGATAGAGAATTTTTATGATGTAGGATCCAGTAAAGTCTATCCATTTTAGTAATTCAAACCCTATGTGCCATGCTTATGATCCCGATGCTAAGGATGGGCATGATTTGCTTATTGGGCTTAATTCTGGGGATGGTAAGTCGAAGTTTGAGATTGTTTCTTTTAACCCATGATCCCCTGTGGATTTATATTTATGGTTTGTTATTGTAGTGTACACTGTATCACTGAGACAGCAGTTACAAGATGTCTCCAAGAAGCTAGTTGGAGCACTCCATTATAATAAGGATGGCTCTGTGAATAACAGGCAAGAGTTTTTCTTTCTGTGTGTAGTTAATGTTATTGTCACTTCTTTAGTGTAGTAATATCTGAAGAATCGATTCAGCCAGATCATATTAGTTTTGTGGAAGGGTCTGTTTGTGTTTTTTCAATGAGGCAAGCGGTTGTTGTAGTCATTGTATGCTCTTCCCAGTAACAGTAGATTAGTCAAATTATTACAGACAGGATATAGTCTCAGAGGTGAACGGTTTGGTTGGTTAAGATGAAACATAAGTCCACAGTGAAGCAGTTTTAGCTAAATCTTTTTGTGTCGTTGTTATGGATGTATGCTCTTGAAAACGTTACAGTAGATTAGTCAAATTACTAACAGAACAAGATGTAAGTCATTGAGGATAACAGTTGAAGTTGATTGAGTTTAAACTAAAAAATATGTTTCTTTGAATTCTATTTTGGTGTCATTTACTCTCTTACGATGAAAATGAATTGTTTTGCTTTTCCACAGCCGTTGTACTAGTATTGCATGGGTGCCTGGAGGTGATGGATCATTTGTCGTTGCTCATGCCGATGGCAATTTGTACGTGTATGAGAAGGCAAGCTCATAGATCAGAAAACTCTTTTAAGTTTTACTTTTATTTGCCTTATCTAATCTAATTGTTGATCCTGATTAATTTAACGTATAGAACAAAGATAGTGCCACTGATTCAACGTTTCCTGCTATAAGAGATCCTACACAATTTTCAGTTGACAAAGCAAAAAATAGCAAGGTAACTTGAGCTATAGCATCCATTTCCATAGATCCTTGTATAAGTGCTGGAAACATATGGTACATGATGGTATCATCAGTTGCCAGTGGTCTTAACAATTTTTTATTTTCTCTTCTTGAGTATATATGGATGATGTACCTTTATTCATTCCATATGCAGAGTAATCCTGTTGCGAGATGGCATATCTGTCAAGGTTCAATCAACAGCATTGCATTCTCAAATGATGGGTCACACTTGGCTACTGTTGGTAGAGATGGTAAGAGGCATATATCTATTCCTTCGTGTTTACGTCTTCTTCTTTCTCTATTTGTTTCTTTATTGATCATTTCAGTTTTTTTTATAACATTTACAGGTTATCTTCGCATTTTTGACTTCTCAACCCAGAAGCTAGTATGTGGTGGAAAAAGTTATTACGGTGCTCTGCTGTGCTGTTCTTGGAGGTGACTGAATATAAAACATCTGAAAAATTTTTGTTCTTCTTTGAATATACAAAACTTGTCTGAAGTAGATTGCATTGTGTATTGAGAATATTAGCTCTTGGCCATTGACAACGTGACTATATTAACAGTATGGATGGAAAGTACATTTTGACTGGAGGTGAAGATGACTTGGTTCAAGTCTGGAGTATGGATGATCGCAAGGTCGTGGCCTGGGGTGAGGGGCATAACTCTTGGGTAAGTGGAGTAGCGTTTGATTCCTATTGGTCGTCACCAAATGCAGATGGGTCTGGAGAGCATATCATGTACCGGTTTGGATCAGTTGGTCAGGTTTGTCTTCATGCTCCTTTGCACATATATACGTTCTCCAAGTCTTTGGCCTCACACACTTTCCTCTGCTGAGTCCTCAGGATACACAGATACTTCTCTGGGACCTTGAAATGGACGAGATAGTGGTACCACTAAGGCGACCTCCAGGAGGATCTCCCACTTACAGCACGGGAAGCCAATCGGCTCACTGGGACAATGTGATACCAGTGGGAACTCTTCAGCCGGCTCCTTGCAAGCGTGATGTTCCAAAGCTCTCGCCGGTCATAGCTCACCGTGTTCACACTGAGCCTCTCTCTGGCTTGATGTTCACGCAAGAATCAGTTGTGACGGCTTGTAGAGAAGGCCATATAAAGATCTGGACAAGGCCTAGTGCCTCAGAAATTCCATCTAACAGCTCAGAAGGAAATTCTGCAATAGCTCTGTTGAGCTCAAGCTTCCCTAAAGACAACAAAGGCTCACTGAGCAGCAAAATCGGTGGTTCTAGTTTAAAGTAATGATAGAGATCATGCTGTCTGAAAAAATCAGGTGCTATTATTTAGTCATGTTGTCTCCCATCTAAAGTGGAAAGGAAACCGTGTGAATAAATATATCTGCTGGGAGAGAGATGAAATCTGAAATCTGAAATCTGACTGTATATTGGAGGCTTTGACAAACTTGTGGGCAACAGAGAAGAACAAGAAGAAGATGGGTAGAGACTAAAGAGAATTTTCTTATGTAATTATAAGGAAGATAAAATAAGATGTTTTGTTTTTTTTAGGGTGTATGCCCTAAAATACTTTCATCAGCTAATAATGGAACACTTTGGTGCTTCAGATGAAGACACTCTTTATTTGCAGACACTAAACTATGCATTTTTGTTTCGAGTGAAGATCCGAAATTTTCATGGCCTTTGTTGTTTCTATAAACTAGTTGCATACTCCCCGCGCAAGCGTGGGGCCGGAATCATTATGTTTGCGTATATTTTTTTCGATTTAGTGGTTTAGTGAATTCTTCTAATGACACCAAATAATAATGAAATGGAAAGAATGTAGTAAGAGTGTAAATGAAAATATTGTATATCTTTGACCAAAAAAAAAAGAAAATATTGTATATCTAATGTGTTAAATGTTATATATATGCGAAGTAAGGTTTATAGGAACAGTTAGGTTGTAATATAATTTTTAGTGTGTAAAAGTAGGTGTCTATTTTTTTTTTTTACAGTAAATAGTTTTTATATCGTATGTCAAAATTTGATATAATTCTATATTTATAGTATTTATATTTGTATTAAACGATTTATCAATTTAAAAATAACCTTAATTAAGTTAATATTCATTGTTTAAGTTTCATTAGATAGGTTTTTATATATGGTTTTTTGTAAGTTTGGGTTTTGTTCATAAATGATGTGACATTTTTATCTACGGCGTCATCGACTGTGGGAATCCATTCGCCGAAGTCTGGAGTCGGTGGTGAAGAATGTTTTCAACGAAATTATAGTAGTTATTAAAATGTAAGAGAAATTACATATTCATTTAATAAATAATGAAAAATACTTAAATTTTGTTGTTTATTTTATTTTATTTCACTTACAAATTTTTTGAAAATATATTTAGGAATGAGTTAAATGTTATTTATATGCGAAGTAAGGCTTATAGGAATAGTTAGGCTATAATATAGTTTTTAGTGTGTAAAAGTAGGTGTTTTTTTGGCTGTAAATAGTTTTTATATAGTAGGTCAAAACTTGATATAATTTTGTATTTGTAGTATTTATATTTGTATTAAACGATTTATCAATTTGAAAATGACCTTAATTAAGTTAACATTTGTTGTTTAAGTTTCATTAAATAGGTTTTTATATATGTTTTTTTGTAAGTTTGAGCTTTGTTCATAAATGATGTGGTATTTTTATTTACGGCGTCATCGACTGTGGGAATCTATTTGCCGGAGTCTGAAATCGGTGGTGATGAATGTTTTCAATGAAATTATAGTAGTTATTAAAATGTAAGAGAAATTACATATTCATTAAATAAATAACCAAAATAATTAATTTTTGTTGTTTTTCTATTTTATCTCACATAGAAATTTTTTGAAAATATATATTAGGATATGTGCAATGATTTCACTTTTTGAGCTCTTAATCTATATTATTCAAGCCTCATTAAGCCATCCACGTAGGTAGCCGCGTGGGATTCACTTTTTTTTTGGTCGGTTCGTTTTTGGATTCATTCTTTATTATTTTTGGGTTGAACTATATTATAATAGGATAGTTTTAAAGCTCTTTAAGCCATCCGCGTGAGACTTGCTTTTTTTTTGTTCGTTTTTGCATCCATTTTTAACTATTTTTGGTTTGAACTCGTTAAGCTTTAGGGTTTATCCAACTATTTTGATTTTTAAAACAATAAGCCATAAAAAAACATAAAAACCTTACAAACAAAAAGCCCATATGATAATAACCCAAATAAAAAAATCAAAAATAAATGATGGCTGCGTGGTTTGAACCCACGATCTTGCATGCTTAATTAGACACCTAATACCACTTGGCTAAAGTGTATTTCATTGTTTTTAATCATCTTACCAAGACTATAAGTTTTTAAAAAATACCTACGGGACCCACAAAATTGCTGACGTGGCGCGTTGTGGAGCCTAGAAAGTGTACTATTATAATATAGACTAGATTTTATACTCGCGTTACGCGCGAGTCTGTTTTAATAATTTAGTTTAATTAAAATAACTTAAAACCAAAATATTAATTGAGTAATATAATTTTCTTATTTAAAATATAATCTTTAATTTAGTATTTATGTTTTCTTATAATTATGTTATCTTATTAGCTATTTAGTTATTTGTATTTGTAAATATAATAATTATGTTTCTAAACATATTCATAT